GTCAATATTGGCCAACTGTTTCAAACCCTATCCCATAAAGGGTCAACAGTTTGAATAATCATAACTTATGGCTGGGGGTATTCATCTGCCGGCAAAACCGACTGATATTATTTTACTTGTTTTAAATATTGTTTTCATTTTGTTTTATCATCATAATAATGATTATTAATTTATTATTGTCATTATTACCATGTGTCGGTTCTATCCAATTTCAAATGACACAGAATTCTTTATTTTGCAGAATCCACACAATTTCCCCTTATGGATTTCCCCTTAAATAAGCTTAGAAAATAAAAATATTGATAAGCTAAAAAGTTCATTGGAGCGGGAAAAGTTGAGACACCAATCAATGACAATGATACGGTATACAATAATGCTTCTAAAACAAAACAGTTTGACAAGCACTGAAATTAAAATTTGGCTGAATAGAATGTAACCAACACAATACTTTCACTAATCTATTACAATTATAGAAAAGAAAGACTTAGTTTTATGGTTTCTAACTTAGCTATAAAACAGAAATTGTTATAAAATTATCGACACATAAAATTATTGCATTCCAGGTTTTATGGTAAAGTTCGACTGTTTTACCATTTACGTCTTTAGAACAATCATCAATTTATGGCAAGTTCATCATATTTATTATAACACATTTGATTTTAAACAAATCTATAGAATAAGAGTGATGTTTTACCTCAATCTTATTCTATAGATTTGTTTAAAATCAAATGTGTTATAATAAATATGATGAACTTGCCATAAATTGACTTTTTTGGTGTACACTGTATTATCGGCACTTTTAGAAGTATAAAATACTGTACTACCACCAAATATCAATCATTGTTATCATCCCTAACTGTTTGCTGTGGAAGTAACAGCATTACCTTAAACAACTAATACCAAGTTCACATGTTGCATGAATCGACATCTATTCTAGTTTCAAACCGTAATTATGAAACATCGACTTGCAAGATAATTTTTTGTTCATGTTTCATTTTAATAACAGACCGTTGTGGAATTCTCTAACTCATTTTTGAGTTACCGAAATTCAAAGTCTATAATTTCACTAATTAAAGAAATTTGTCGGTTAGTTAGCTACGAAATCAAAGTTCAAACCTACCATAGATACCAATGTTGTCAACTTTAATTTATTTTTTATATCAACATTTTGGGTCTCAAAGTTACCGATTTTTCTAGTAGTAGAAGGTAGAAAACTTAATTAAATTCTCATGTTCGATTTCTAAAAAAATTTAAACTAGTCAAATAGTATCAGTCGGTTTTGCCGACAGATGTATACCCCAGCCTTGACTTAAGGTACGGTCACACTGGGCAAATATTTGATCGAAATTTGTTTTCCCATATTTGACTGAACAAATGTAAAATTCATACAGAGTTGATTCGATGTTCACATTACAGTCAAATATTTGAAAGATTTTGTTTGTTCAAACAGTCACCAAATAGCGTCAAATAGTGCTATGGGGAAACATGTTTGACACATGTTCACATTCGTAAAATATATTTTCCCCATAAATTGTTTGATCAAACTATGAGGAAACATAAATTTATTTGGCCGAGAGAAATAGACAGAGAGAGTGAAAGAGAGACATAAAGAAAATGGAGTTTCGGGTATAATTTATTTGGAGAAGGGAAGCAAATGACCAGCTGTTGTGGAATAAATTCCTTGTCAGAACATTTTTTTTTCATTTTTGTATGTTTGTATCACGGTAGAAGAATACTGGTAGTCGCATCGACATAGCTGCTGGGACAATGAACCGACAAACAATAATGAATGAAATATTATTGAAATTTGTAAAAATTGTTGAAAAATACATATCATTGCGTAAAAGAAAACATAGAAAAATCTTCTTATTTTTGTCAAAACAATTAAAAATGTTTGACATATCAATGTTTCAAGCGTTGATGCATCTACCTATATCCTATTCCTGAACCTGCAAGAATCTACTAGTTTGTCAATTTTCTTCGATATAATAAAGGGAAAATCGGTAATCTAGTAAAAACTTTTACATCTTGCAGTTCTGGAACAGACCATATATTAAATTTTTACTAAACATTCAAATTCAGTTAATTCAAAAATATCAAATAAACAATACCACCTATTTTATTCGTTTGCTTTTCTATTCATTAAACATCATGTTACAAATGCTCCTGTTCTTAAACCAAAATGCTGCCCAATGTTTTAAACTGATATTTTTCCTTGTTTGACCTTACAAAACATTTGCACCGTCAAATAAATGTTTGACCAAAAAAGAGGAAAATAATTGATCATAGGTGTTCACATTATGGACACACTGGTCAAATTTTTGTTTTCTGGCAAATAATTTTGTTTTCCCAAAATTAGCTGTTTTTGTATTTACCGTCAAATAATATTTGGTGGTCAGATTGTGACAAAGAAATATTTGACATTTTTCGTCAAATATTTGCTCAATGTGAACTTACCTTTATGATTATTGAAACACTTGACTCTTTATTGGGGAGGTTCCGAAACAGTTAGCCAATATCGACCAATTCGTATCTGACCTTAGACTGATATAAATATTACAACGTGACATATTTGGACTATATCGACTATTTCCTGGACTTTATATGAGATATGTGCAAAATTTTTTGGAAAATGTGGAAATATGCCTGAGGTAACAGATATAGTGGACAGGAGTGTTCCGTCTTCATACTTCATCTAAAGCAGAAAAATTTTTTGGTATGTGCAACATTTGAAGGAAATCGAACATTTATATTTAATATTATTCGAATTCATAAATTTCGATAAATTACATATTCACATCAGATTTCAGGTTAAGAGGAATATTTAGGTTTTTTTTTCGAAATTTTGACCCGAAAGTCCGAGTTCAAGACCCGGGCTGGACCCGGATCCACTTACCCGATATAGACAGTATACGTATCCAACATGTGGTCACATGATGGGATAAGTGGTCACGGTTCGGAAGTTATAGTCAAATTATTGATTTTTTGGAACCGATTTTTTTATAAAACCCCCAAAAAGTCGAAAAAGGCCCATTATGGGGGTCATAAAAATGGATACCAAATTATAGCTGAAACTCTCCAAAATGCTACAATTTGCGCTAATACTTTTTTCGGGTCCAGAAATATAGGTATTTTACCAAACTAGAGTTAAGCCATATTTAGATATAGCAAGTTGTAAAGAATCGCCGACTTGTTATGACAGCTATAAGTATTGAAAGTTGTGTCTCTTTGTAGGTGAGGTACCAGAATGGGTTGAAAGATATATGTCATTGAGATGTGCCAAGTCTGAATGGAATCAGACGTTATTTTCACGTTTTATGAGCTTCATGAATATTCAAAATTTTGACTCTTTGTGGGGGAGGTACAAGAAGGAGTGGTCTGATATATTCCATCTTTACACCAGGCCTTGGGTTAATAAAAAAATATTGTAATGTGTGTAATTTGAACATAGTCAGACTCTTACATAACATTTTATAAGAGTTATAATTATTCAAATTTTTGAACCTTTGTAGGGGAGGCACTTGGTGGAGTGGACCGATATTGTCCATTTTCGCACCTGACCTGGCATTGATGCAAATATTAGGATTTGCAAAGTTGGAGCAAAATCGGATGATCCTTTCTCTTTCTGTGCAGTAAATTATTTTTATTGAAAATGTTGATATTTTGTGGGGGAGGTACCAGAAGGAGTGGACCGGTTTTGTCCATCTCCGATCTCGAACTAAGTTTGACAATAATATTACGATGTACCAAGTTTGGACGAAATCGGATACTCCCTTCAAGAGTTATCGTGCGCACCAGCCAGACAGACGGACATCCCCAGATCGAATCCTGAAACGGATTTGGTCCAAGAAGTATGTTTTGGCCGTATCAGCTGAAAAAGTAGTAGTAGAAAACGTAATTAAATTCTAGTGTTCAATTTCTAAAAAATTAAAATCATCGATAAAAAATTAAGTTTACAACGTTTTTTTTTTTTAATATTCGAATGGAAATAGAATATGTTTTTTGATCAATGGAAACGCGATATAAACTTTCACAACCCAACTTTGGCATGGAAAATGCATGGTAGAAAAATACAGGTAGATGCATCAACGCTTGGGAGCATTGATGTGTCAAAAATTTTTAAATTTCTTTTCAAATATAAGTAGATTTTTATATGTTTTCTTATACGACGTCATTCGGAGGTTATTATAAAAGGCCTTTTTCAACAATTTTTACAAATTTAAATAATTTTTCATTCAACATTTTCAATTCCAAAATTCGTTTGAAAGTTCATTGCCCCAGCAGCTGCGTCGATGCGTCTACCTATATTCTTCTACCATGGGAAAATGGTACAATTATAACAAGGTAGGGTAGAATGATTAAATTTGAAAAGCACATCCCTGAAGCTAGAGTCCTACAAATTTAACAATATTTTTATCTTACACATTTCACCCAATATTTGAATTGAATTTGTGATTTTTTTATACGACGCAAATCGGAGGTTGTTATGACATGCATTTTTCAACAATTTTTACAAATTTCAAACATTTTTCATTTTCAATTTCAAAATCGGTTTGACAGTTCAATATCTCAGCAGCTGTGTCGATGCGACTAACTCATGGTAAAAGAATACAGGTAGTCGCATCGACACAGCTGCTGGGACAATGAACTGTCAAACCGATTTTGGAATTGAAAATGTTGAATGAAAAATTATTGAAATTTGTAAAAATTGTTGAAAAATTCATATTATAACAACCACCGATTTGCGTCGCATAAGAAAAAAATTTAAAAATATAATTATTTTTGATAAAATATCTTAAATTGTTTGCCATATCAATGTTCCCAAGCGTTTATGCATCTACCTATATTCTTCTACCATAGACTAACTGTATTCTTTTACCATGTTTCAAAACAAGACATACAAAAACTGGTGTTACACAGTGTAATCTCGATAAACACTTAAAATTCCTTAATTCCCTAGTAGACTTGTAGATCCCTGTACTAGTTTGACGTTTTACTTTCCGAATATCTTAAGTCGACTTACCTATCCCTAACTTGCCCATCACTATTTCGTTGTACACGAACTTATTTTTGTTTTTTCGATTAAATTAGTGGAAAAATTGTTAAAAACTACGGCAACATCCAATTAAAAATCTCTGCAGATGGCTGATAAACCACCAACAGCTATGCCACCGGCCAGTGAACCATTTCCAGGTGCGATTCCACACTAACGATGTCAATGAGTAGAGAAAGAAGAACGACAACAAAAATACGGAATTGAAGCTGCTGGAATTTCAATGTCAATGAAAATGAATTCTATTCAATTGTGTTTTGTTTCTTTTGCAGGTTCACGGACACCCGGCTGGAATGATCCACCTCCACTACCCTACAATCCAATGTCAGCAGCGGCACCGGGACGACCTCGTATTAGTTTGAATAAACGTGTCGCCTATCCTCTACAAGGTTCTGTGACGTCAACAACTGCAACTACGAAACCCACGGCAGTGGTATTGCCAAATCAGTTGGCAGGAGGTATGCCATTGCCACCACCTCCAATGGCTGTAAATGCGGCAACGACTGCATCAATTATGCAACCTGTGGCTGTTGTCCATCCCATGCCTCCAATGATCCAGCAACAACAGCATTCGAGTAGTCAGCAGGAAACAATTGTTTTGCCAACGGATGCATTAGCGGTAAGTTTTCGCAATCTAAGAGAACGAGTTCCTTTGGTCCAGGAATCGGTGAATGTTAGGCGGGAAGAAATTGAACGACGTCTGGGCATCATTGAGCAACTATGGCAAACCGGCAATTTGAGTGAGGCTGTTAAGCAGAAAATCTATAAATTGAGCTTAGCCGTTGAACGTGGCGCCCACAATGAGGCTATGGAAATATATACATCATTGGTGGCCAATCATGCAAATGAGTGTACATCGTGGGCCATAACACTGAGACACATTGTTTTGACAATAGCACCAACGCCGACACCAATGGCTGCTACATCAACGGTCCCAAGTGCTGAACCCATAAATGTAGTTGCACCCAATAATAGCAGCAACACCAACATTAGTAATCCAACGAATTTAGTTTCCGCAATACCCACCATGTCAGTGACCGCCATGCCACGTCCAACGAATTCGAATGAAGGAGTAGAGGGAAATACAACTGCACCAATATCAAGGATTCAGCATATATGATAAGCAGTGAGCGGTGGAGAAGTGCTACCACAGGCCCCCCTCAAAATATAGGATAGGCAAACCTATTTTTTTTTTTTAATTTATAAATTTTACTTCCAACATGAATGTGTGTTTGTGTGAATGTATTTAAACGCTTTTAAGGCAAGCAGAAGAAAAAAAAACAAACGAAAAGAAAGTTTTAAACTTTTTGGTATTACGAGAAAAAAAGAAAGAAAAACAATAACAACAGGAAATATATTCTACCACTAATAAATGATGCTATTTGCTGGATATTTTACACCCAATTACACTCCCTTTATTTGGAGTAACAGAAGTTTGGTGGTATTGGCTTTCAAAGAGCGTTATATTTATCAGTTTTGAAAATTTTTAAATTGTATTATTAGCAACAAGCTCCTCACAGGGGAACGTTGTTTTCATAGTTTATCATTACACTTCTGTAGCTCCAATTTTATTCCTCCATTATGTATTCTTTTCCAACAATAATAGTATAGAACAGCATTTAATTATGAAATCAAAAAACGCAATTACTTAGCAATGCATTTTCCGTTTATGAGTTTGAACTCTACTGGCCGTTTGATGCGCAGAGCTTCGAAGTCCAAATATAACTAGAAATAATTATTATGTATTTGATAAAGATATTACATGGAAGATATTTTGTGAGCAAAACTTTGTCCAGGCAAAAGATTCTCGTGTATTCACATATGATCCAAAAGGCTATGCTGGTAAACTACTTAATTTTTCGATATATCCACTAATAATTTATCAGTTATTAAATCCGTAGAAGACATTTATCCAATTTCTACATGCTGTAGGATCTGTATTTATTGTGAGAATGTAAATGCCAGGACAAAAGCCTTCGCCTATTTCCTCCCAAAAAAGTATATCCTCTCCGCCATCACAGATCTTCAAACTCGTAAGGGTAATTCGTGCTAGTACTATAAGAATCAAATCGAAAACTCGATTCTCCATCTTTTCTTATTACTTTTTTTTGCAATTTTCTTTGTGTATTATAGTTTTCTTTTATTGTATATTTTTCTTTTTAATTTGCAATTAGATTATTTTATGCATTTAATGAAAATTAAGAAAGAAACAAATAAAAACATATTACTTGGATCCAAAAAGATCCTTGATGATAATTGTGTAAAATTTCCCTCATCCTTCCTAACTTCAACTCTACTTAAATTGTCTGACATAATAAAGATTAAGTGAAAAATTAAATTTGAGTTTTATTTTGCATTTAGGAATGGTAACAATTAGAATACAATGAGGTTATGAATTAATACACCGAACATTAGCCCACTTTGATTTTATTAGAAATGTGCCCTTCCTGAAAAAGTTATACATTTAAATGAGATATTGAATGTTAAAGAAAAACAAGTAAAATAGGATCAGTCGGTTTTGCAGACTAACCCCGGCCTTGAGTTAGGTTTTTTCAAACTGTTGACCCTTTATGGGTGAGGTTCCGAAGCAGTTCTCCGATATTGACCAATACGTATGTGACCTTAGACTGATAAAAAAATTACAACGTACCAGATTTGGACAATATCGACTACTTCCTATACTTTATATGAGATATGTGCAAATTTTTGGAAAATGTGAAAATATGCGTGAGGTAACAGATATAGCGGACCGAAGCATTCCATTTTCATACTTCAAATAATACAGATAAAAATATTGGTGTGTACAAAATTACACGAAAATCGAACAATTATATTAAATTTTTTTGCGAAATCATGAATTCCATATTCATCTCCGGTTTCTGGTTGAGAGAAATATTTAGATATAGCAAGTTGTAAAGAATCGCCGACTTGTTTCGCAAGTTATGACAGATATAAGTATTGGAAATTATGACCCTTTGTGGGTGAGGTACCAGAAGGGGTTCGAAGATATATATGTATATCATCTTCACAACAGATCTTGCGTTAACAAAAATATTTGGATGTGTGAAATTTGAAAAGAATATGATACTAATCTCTATTTCTTTGAGCGTTGTGTTTTTTAAAAATCTTGAACCCTATGTGAGGGGGAGATACCAGAAGGAGTGGACCGTTATATCCCAATGTTACACCAGATCTGGTGTTAGTAAACATAATGGGATGCGCGAAATTTCGAAGAAAGCTGGAAGCTTATTTCGAATTTTATGATCGTTTTGGTTATTCAAAATGTTGACCCTTTGTGGGGGAGGTAGCAGAAGAAATGGTCCGATCTCTACCATTTTTATAACGGACTTTGCCAAAGAAATGTGGCAAATTGGAATGATATTGGATGTTAATTTCGCGTTTTATGAGCTTCATGGATATTCAACATTTTGACCTTTTTTTGGAGGAGGTACCAGAAGGAGTGGACCGTTATATCCCAATTTCACAGCAGATCTGCTGTTAGTAGACATAATGGGATGTGCGAATTTCGAAGAAAACCGGATGCTTATTTGGAATGTTATGATAGTTTTGACTATTCAAAATTATGACCCTTTGTGGGGGAGGTACCAGAAGGAGTGGATCGATATGTTCCATGTTCACACCAGAGCTTGGATTAATAAAAATATTGTGATGTGTGTAATCTGAAGAGAACCGGATGCTTATTTTGCTTTCTTTGAGAGTTTTGTTTTTCAAAATTTTGACCCTTTGTGGGAGAGGTACCAGAAGGAATGGTCCGATTTCCACCATCTTTATAACATATCTTGTGTTTATGGAAACATTGAGATGTGCCATGTCTGAATGGAATCGACTGTTACTCAAAATTTTGACCCTTTGTGGGGTGGATACCAGAAGGACTAGATTGATATACCCATCTTCACACCAGACCCTGTGTGTAATTTGAAGACAATAGGAAACTTACATCACATTATTCAAAATGTTGACCCTTTGTGGGGGAGGTACTTGACAGAGTGCACCGGCATTGTCCATTTTCGCAACTGATATAGCACTGAGGAAAAAATTTTAAGATTTGCAAAGTTGGAACAAAAACGGATTATCATTTATCTATGAAAATGTTGATATTTTGTGTGGGAGGTACCAGAAGGAGTGGACCGATATTGCCCATCTCCGAACTCGATCTAAGTTTGACAATAATAGGTGTGTCTGGTTACTTTTCCATCAGGAATTGTCCAGCAACTTCTTTCTGAGAGAGTAAGGTAGTTTTATTCTCTTTTGCAAGGAAAAGGCGAAAAGTAAACAGACGGTATTCCTGCAGAAGCTTGCAACTAATCAGCTGATTTGTCAAAACAAACCAATTTGTCCCCCATAAGGAGAATTAAAACAAAGAAGGCAATACTAATTTTACAAGTTTTTTAAATAAAATGTTGGAAATAGTCTTTTATTTTCTTATTACATATTAACATTTACGTTTTTCACAATTTGTAAAGTTGTTCTCCAAAAACTATTAGTCTTGCTAATTCCAAAAAAATATTTTCAAATTGAAAGCACAAAAATAAATAAACAAACAATAGAAAACATCTGATTGAATGTCGATGAATGAGAAGAAGAAGAGTTGCAAGTGATTACAAGAAGAAATTTGTCCAGCAAGAATTTGCAAACTCTCACTCATGATCCAAGTATAAGGTCCCCCTTCCAGTTCAGCTGATTACCCGACGATCTGTCAATTAAATTTGAATTCGCTGCAACAAAAACAAACTTCAAAACGATGGTAGAAGAATACAGGTAGTCGCATTGCATAGCTGCTGTGGCAATGAACTTTATGATACCCTACACCACTTTGCTAATTTAGTTGAGCTCCACTTAATAATTAAAAGTTTTTATGGGAGAATTCAATCATACACGCTATGATTATAAATATAATTTAAAATTCCAAGGACTAAATATGCCGAAGCATTTGTATCTTTTAAATTCGGACTTGTATTGCCCATTTGGTGCAAAATTAATTTGAAAACAGATAATGATATATATGGGAACTATATCCAAATCTGAACCGATCTCGATAAAATTTGGCAAAGATATTTCTGAACTGTATTTGATATATTTCTCTGAATATCGTTGTTACGGAGTGCATATTACGGCTGTAGGTAACAAATATAACAAATCGGATGAACAATATGTATGGGAGCTATAGCTGTTCGGTCGTATGTGCCAAATTCCATCCCATTTGGGCAAATATTAGACGTTTGGTGCACGATAAAAGGTAAATCAGACGAAGTTATATATGGAAGCTATATCCAAATTTGAACCGATCTCGATAAAACTTAGCAAAGGTATTTCTGAGCTGTATTTCATATATATTCCCAAAAATTGTTGTTACAGAAAGCATATTACTGCTGCGGAGGACAAAAATAACAAATCGGATGAAAAATATTAATGAGAGTTATAGCTATATCTGAACCGATTTCGATCAAATATGGCATACTTATTTTCAGGCATAATTTGGTTGTATGTGCAAAATTCCATACTATTCGGGCTGATATTACACGTTTGGTGCACAATAAACGGCAAATCGGACGAAGATATATATGGGAGCTATATCTAAATTTTTACCGATTATCTCAATCAATGGGGTTCGTCCTTGGTCCAAACAAATGTTGTTTGCAAAATTTCATCACAATCGGATAATAAATGCGACCTGCATTTTGTTCACAAGAATACATGGACAGACGGACGGTTTGGCGGTTCATTGTCCCAGCAGCTGCGTCGATGCGTCTACCTGTATTTTTCTACCATGTGTTATACACACAAAAAATGACAACAAACATATTCGCCACAAAATTCTTCTGTCAAGGCGAAAATATTTATTTTCGCCTCAAGCATGAATTTTGACATTTCATCTGGTAAAATAACAGCTGTTTTTAGATTAATTCGCTTGAAGGAAGACCTTATAATTGGGCCATGCTCTCACTGAAAGAACTGTCAAAATTTTTCTCCCCAACCGCTCTCTTTTGAAGAACTTTTGAGTTAACCGACGACTTCCAGTAACAATTTGTAACAATTGTTACAAATTTTAGGGTAACCAGACACACCTAATATTACGATGTACCAAGTTTGGATCAAATCGGATACTTCTTTCGACAGTTATCGTGCGCACCAGCCAGATAGACAGACGGATCTACGGACGGACATCGCTAGATCAACTCCAAATGTCCTGAAACGGATTTGGTCCAAAGAGACCTAGGGTATAAAACCTTCATTTCGATGAGGCCCGTTTTGGTCGTATCAAATGATATATACCCTCCCTCTCTAGCCACATGGCTGAGGGTATAAAAATATTATTTCAATGTAGGGGGGAGGGGTGGAGATTCGAAATACATCGCCACGTCACACATCGTTCTCTCGGAGTGCCATTACACTTCCAGTTCTCAGCATACATAGATTCGAAAGAAACCTTATTTTTTTAAATACTTGTAGCCTAGGCCCAGATGCCTGAGACCTTTAAGCTGGGAATACGTAAAGCGCTTATTTGGTTGGCTTAAGTCATAGGCTGGCTTCTTCGGAAATGAACAAAGGAGCCTAGGGTCAAAATCGAACTAAGTCAACCTAAAACTCCTTTGTTCCTCTACGAAGAAGCCAGACGATGACTTAAGCCAGTCAAATAAGCGCTTTATGTATTCCCAGCTTTACTTGTACGCTCCTTAATGTTCACCTGTCCTCAAAAAGATCATCAATAGTTGTGTTCCAGTACTTTTTTAGCGTTAAAACTAGCAGAAGAGAGAACAGTACAAAATGCCATTCTCATTTAGGTGTGCTCAACAAATAAGGGAACGGAAAATTAGCAGAAATACGATAAAATGTCAACATTCAAAATTCCAAAAGGAAACAGTCAAAATCGGACTGGTGAACCCTTACTGAAATGGACGCCAAAATTTAAAAAAATGAGTATTGAAAATAAGTTGAAATTAATAATTATTTTTGAATGCTGTTTATTTAGAAAGTTTTGTTTCAGAATGCGTTGAAGAGTATTTAGAGGTGGAGTTTTCTCAAATCCCAACCCCGGAGAAGCTGACATGGTTGGAGCCGCCGGTTTAATTAATGTTAAGGCTGGAAATACATAAAGAGCATATTTGGCTGGCTTAAGCCATCGGCTGGCTTCTTCGTAGATGAACAAAGGAGTTTTAGGTTGACTTAGTTCGATTTTGGCCCTGGGCTCCTTTGTTCATTTCCGAAGAAGCCAGCCGATGACTTAAGTCAGCCAGATAAGCGCTTTATGTATTTCCAGCTTAAGTCTGCTAGAAGACTAAATGCCACAAGTTGGGAAGACAGCCAACCTAAAAAATAAAAAGAACATGTTCAGTAATAAGCGAACATCATTGATTTTAAGCTTAATTTTTCAATTAACCTTTCACTAATTTTGCACTGTTTTCCAATACGTTTTCATCGTCTGATTCCTTATTCAGGTTGAAACATTTTTCAACCTTGTTAGCCCTGCCAAGTAAATGTCAAATTTACAATTTGCACATTTCTGCTCTGCCAAATTCATGTAGCTAAAACAAGCAGAAATGTGCACCACTCAGCGCCATTTTTTTTTTATCGAGAGAGCTGCAAGTTTTGCTAGTTTTTGGAGTACGGGAACGCGTTTTAGCAGAATTAGCACTAATTAGTACTAATTTGTAGGTTCTGGAACACAACTAATATTGGTGCCTCTGTCCTCATATGGGAACATTTGTTCAGTAGATACCCTAATGGGTATCGGCTATCGTAGTAAAAACATTCTTGTAGTTCTGGAACAGACGCTTGGAAACATTGATATGTCAAAATTTTTTAAATTTTTTTTTTCAAAAATAAGTAGATTTTTATACGTTTCTTATACGACGCCATCGGAGGTTGTTATGATGTGATTTTTTTTTCAATAATTTCTACAATTTTCCATTCAACATTTTCACTTCCAAAATTGGTTTGACAGGTTATTTTTCCAACAGCTGTGTCGTGGCGACTACCTGTATTCTTCTCCCTTTAACTCTTGTTTGTCTTTTTATTCAAAGAGTTTTCAAAAACTGAGAAAAAGTGTCATTTATTTGAAAATACTTTTTATTAAAAATAAATGGATTAAACGTTCCATTAATTATTTTTTTAGTAAAAACGATTCTTTAAAAATTGTATATTAAACAAATAATAACAGATACCAACACCATTATATAAACAAAAAACGGAAGAAATGTGAAATTTAAAATCCGACGTTATTCCAACAACATTTACCATGGCAACTTTTCGCCATCGTATTGATAGAAACCACCATGATGGCTGGCCTTAAATCCCAAAATTGTATTTACAATTTCAGCAGTTGTTGGTCCAACTTCGAGAGGGGCCATTTCACCACCCATATCGGTGCGTACCCAACCAGGATGCATGGAAACACACAGAATCTTTTGTTCCTTCAAATCAACACTCAATGCCTTGGTGATGGAATTCAAAGCGGACTTGGAAGTACCATACGAATAGTAGCTGCCCCAGGTGTTCCTCTCAATGGAACCCAACAAAGAACTCATGTTGATGATAGCAGCCCGTTCTAAGCCCATTTCCAAATTATCATTAAGTTTGGATGCTTTTTCCAGCAGCGGCAAACAGGCTTTGGTAAACATCAGCGGCACCACAACATTGACATTTAATGTATTCAACATTTCATCTGGTTTGGTGGCTTGAAGACTTTGTTGTTTGCTGGAAATTGCGGCATTATTGAAGAGTACATTGAGTCCCTGGCCCTGGGTGATGGTATCGACTTCCTTGACTACACGATCATATTCATTGAAGTTGAGTAAATCTGCAAATAAAGAAGAGTTGAAATGTTGTTAGGTATAAAAGTTGAGTAATATTCCAATGTATTTCCAAATTAATCTAAAGGTGTAAGCACATAAGAAGCTTTAAGTCATGGCTAGGCATATTTTGTGACATTTCATAAAGGGATTACAGAGCCGTACTTAAATCCTGCCCTTGTTTTCCATTATAATTTGACATTAATATGCCTAACCATGTCTTCAACCTTTTATGTACTTCCACATTTATAGTGTCCGTGATCCTCCTTTATGAGAAACTTCGTTTATGTAAATGTACTGTAGTAGTACGCATGGTAGAAGAAAATAGGTAGTCGCATCGACACAGCTGATGGGACAGTGAACTGTCAAACCAATTTTGGAATTGAAAATATTGAATGAAAAAATATTGGAATTTGTAAAAATTGGTGAAAAATGCGCGTCATAGCAACCTCTGATTGTCGTCGTGTAAGAAAACATATAAAAATCTTCTTAAGTTTGGAAAAACATTAAATTTTTTTGACATATCAATGTTCCCAAGGGTTGATGCATCTACCTGTGTTCTTCTACCATGGTAGTACGTTTACCACATGGTAGAAGAATATAGGTAGACGCATCGTAAAAATGGTTAAAAATGCGAATTATAATAACCTCCGAATGACATCGTATAAGAAAACATTTAAAAATCTACTTATATTAAAAAAAAAACATTTAATTTTTTTGGCATATCAACGCTCCCAGCGTTGATGCACCTACCTGTATTCTTCTGCCATGGTTTACAATTGGTCGATTCTATTGCATGTACCTCATCGGCTGGCTTTTTTGTACATGAACAAAGGAATTTTAGATTGACTTAGTTCGATTTTGGCCCTATGTTCTTTAGTTCATTTCCGAAGAAGCCAGCCGATGACTTAAACCAGCCAGATTAGCGTTTTATGTATTGACTGGCTTCTTCGGAAAAAAAAAACATGGGAGCATAGGGCCAAAATCGAACTAAGTCGACCTAAAACTCTTTTGTTCTTTTACGAAAAAGTCAGACGAAGACTTAAGCCAGCCAAAAAAGCGCTTTATGTATTCTCACTTTTAAGCCAGTAAAAAAACGTTTTATGTTTCTTCACCTTTATTCTATTTTGAGTTTAGTTTTGAAATTTACATACCTATTTCAATGATGTGAATGTTTGGATGTTGAGCAGCTAATTCTTGGAGTTCCTGAAACGAAAAAATCGGTAATGTTTTAATATTTGCTGGATATACTTTTTAAGATGACAAACTTTAATTAGCAATACTGCGGCACTTATATTCGATATATCGATGCTGTTATGTGATCTGTAGTTCTGAATACATAAAATGCGTTTTTGAATGGCTAAAATCATCGGCTGGCTTTTTCGGAAAAGAACAAAGGAGAGAAGGTCCAAAATCGGACTAAGTCAACCTAAAATTTCATTGTTCCTCTACGAAGAAGCCAGTCGATGACTTAAGCCAGTCAGAAAATCCTTTTATATACTCTCACCTTCAGATTGTTAAGTATGCTTAACAAACTTGTAGTTCGGTCAGAAGCATTGGAGAATCAGGAAGGTAATTTGAGTTCAAATAAACATATCCAACTCTGTATTTTTTGTAATTTCCCTTGTCAATTTTAACTTCACTGGAAGCAGGTTTCCACATCTGATTTGCACAATGAATTTATGAATCTACTTTTTGATAGTAATTGTGATATAACAATTCATACAATCATGGTAGAACTAAATAGGTAAAGTCATGTAATCAGATGTTTACATTTTTTTCACATTTATACATTTGGCAACACCTCATTATCAAAATTTATATTCATAAATCCATTGCATACACACAAAATCGGAGATGGGAACTATTTTTTATGCTTTGAAATTTGACAAGGTAAATTACAAAAAATGCATAGCTGGGAATGCTAATATGAAATGAGGTTACCTTTACTTGCAAAATTCTATAACTTATCCTACGTTGTCCTCATTGTATCATGGCAGAAGAATACAGGTAGATGAATCAACGCTTGGGAGCAGTGATATGTCAAAAAAAATTTAAAATTTTTTTCAAATATAAGTGGATTTTTATATGTTTTCTTGTATTACGTCATTCGGAGGCTATTATAATTCGCGTTTTTCAACAATTTTTACAAATTTATATAATTTTTCATTCAACATTTTCAATTCCAAAATTGGTTTGACAGTTCATTATCTAAGCAGCTGTGTCGACGCGTCTACCTATATTCTTCTACCATGTCATTGTATCATGCCTTATAGTATGTTTACATGGATTACGTTTTTCTGTATTAACCTCATTTACGAGGTTATGTGAAGAGGGGTAAGTGAAATGGAATTTATGCCATGTTTACGTTAGAACTTTTTGTAGGGTTAACCTACTTTGAGAGGATTTATTTGAAGTAAAAGTAAAGGATATGACAATTTAAATAAAAATCCAGTGGGTTAACCCTCATATATATAAACGTACTGTAAAGCTTTAATCCGCTAGACTTATCAAATCCGGTAGACTGTCATAATGGATGGGCTCTGAAAGCTCCTTTTTTTCTAATCGCAATCAAACCAATTAGCATTAAGATACATTTACATTTTATTACTAAATTCGTTACATTTTAAGCATAAAATAACAAAAACAGCAACAAATAAATTAATTCAAAACAATTCAAATAGCAACACTGTTTACCATGGTAATTTCTTGCCATCATGCTGATAGAAACCACCATTGTGGGTGGCATTAAATTTCATTACAGTATCGATTATTTCCGCCGTTGTGGGTTCAACTTCTAGGGGGGCATTCTTTCCACCCATCTCGGTGCGTACCCAACCGGGATGTAGGGCCACACATAGAATTTTGTGAGAGAATAAATCGATGCTTAACGATTTGGTTGCAGCATTCAGGGCTGCCTTTGATGTACGATAGGCATAAAGCCCACCAGTTTCATTCATTTCAATGGAACCCAGCATAGAACTCATATTTATAATGGCCGCACGTTGTACACTCAAATCTAGAGATTCTTGAGATTTTGAAGCCTTCTTTAATAGGGGTAGACATGCTTTGGCCAACATAATTGGCACGACGGTATTGGTTTGCAATGTCTCGATAATATCTTCGGCATTTGTCATATTTATTCTGGTAGATTTCGGAGAAATACCGGCATTGTTGAAAAGTACATTGAGACCCTTGGCAGCGGTGACTTCATCGATTTGTTGCACTAACTTATCGTACGCCTTAAAATTTCGTAAATCTAAAAAAAGGAAGGAAATTGTTACACAATCGGAATATAAAAGTGCTGGTTCAATGCACACTTACCAATTTCCATTATATGAAGATTTGAATTATCACAAGCCAAATCTTGTAATTCCTGTAAATAAAGTTTTGATAAAACTTATCTCTTTGGCAAACAATAAGACACACATTTATTCACTTTATCACTAGTAACAAAAAAAAAATTAAGTAACATATAAAAGCTGCGATCAAGCGAGGTTCATTAAACAGGTCTATAAAACCTGGTAGACCTTAATAAGGTCTTTTATCAGCTGTTCAAACTCAGACTAATTTTCAAATTTTGTTTTTTTCCAATTCATACGCATGATAGAACAAAGAAGCGTAGGGCCAAAATCGAACTAAGTCAACCTAAAACTACTTTGTTATTTTCCGAAGAAGCCAGCCGATGACTTAAGCCAGTCAGAAAAGCCTTTAATGTATTCTTACTTTAAAGGGTACATAAAGAGCCTTTTACTGCCTTAATGTGGGAATATATAAGGCTGGAAATACATAAAGAGCATATTTGGTTGGCTTAAGTCATCGGCTGACTTCTTCGTAGATGAACAAAGGAGTTTTAGGTTGACTTAGTTCGATTTTGGCCCTAGGCTCCTTTGTTCATTTCCGAAGAAGCCAGCCGATGACTTAAGCCAGCCAGATAAGCCCTTTATGTATTCCCACCTTAAAGCCCTTATCTGGCTGGCTTAGACTGGAAATACATAAAGCGCATATTTGGCTGGCTTAAGTCATCGGCTGGCTTCTTCGTAGATGAACAAAGGAGTTTTAGGTTGACCTAGTTCGATTTTGGCCCTAGGCTCCTTTGTTCATTTCGGAAGAAGGCAGCCGATGACTTAAGCCAGCCAAATAAGCGCTTTATGTATTCCCAGCTTTAAGTCATCGGCTGGCTTCTTCGGAAATGAACAAAGGAAGCTAGGGCCAAAATCGAACTAGGTCAACCTAAACCTCCTTTGTTCATCTACGAAGAAGCCTCCTTTGTTCTTTTCCGAAAAAGCCAGGTATGCATTTTTCTACAAGTTTAACGAGTTTGAATAATTTTTCAATTAAAAATTTTAATTTTCAAAACTGGTTTGACAGTCCCTGTATTTTTCTACCATGCTCTCACCGTTAGTCGTCTAAGAGACAGTTTAGACTACTAAATCCACTCGATTTCAATTGACAATCCCATAGCGTATACGTCATATTCAAAATCATAAATGACGTATACGCTACAATATAGAAATTTGAGTACGAGTGAATCGACTCAAGCATTTTCCAATGACAGTAAATTGTTAGCATCAATTTTTGACATTTCGTACAATTCAAAAAGAGAAACAATTGCAAACAAGCAAGTAGGGGACCGGTAGTGCGATTCTCTAATTAATTTTTCGAGATACCGACAAAAATTGGTAAAATTAAAATTCTTATAATTCCGGTTATTAACGAAATTTGTCGTTAAGTTAGCAGCGAATTAAAGTAGTCGCTAAGGCCTACCGATAGATACCAATGTTGTCATCATTTATGTCTTTTTTATGTCAAATTTTTCAGTTTGAATGTTATTTTTGTCGGTAACTCGAAAAATGAGTTAGAGAAGCGCACTACAGGAGATTAACATATTACTTTAGGTGATATCCCGGACCTTTATTCATTTTCATTGAAGCCATTACATTTTTTGGCAAATTTTCACAATCTCTCGGTCCTTTATTTGTTTTCATTGGCGCTATTCTATTGTTTTTGCAATTTTTGACAATTAGTACATAAAATCGATTATGCCATGTTTACGTTAGAACTTTTTGTAGGGTTAACCTACTTTGAGAGGATTTATTTGAAGTAAAAGTAATGGATATGACAATTTAAATCCAAATCCAGTGGGTTAACCCTCATATATATAAACGTACTGTTACCCGTCTTTAATAGTAAATAATGCGGTAAAACATGTAAACATAGCCTGACGGTATTTTCAAACGTAGGCAGACGTTACGCCATACGCCGTATTCTTTGTTCGGACGCCGTTAACAAAAATTCCAACTCTGGGCTCTATGAAGTTAAATTATAAAACTATAAATTTAAATGATTTTTTTCTTATCCCAATACACTTTTTACATTTTCTTATGTTTTGGGAATATAGGCTTAGCAAATATTTCTTTTTAAGAGTTTTTATTAATTTATTCTAATCATGTTTGTTTTTTATTAAAATATACAACTCTGCGCCATTTCCAATAAGAAAGCAAAATACAAAATGACATTTCCATCTTTCCAATGGCAAACGTAGGAAAGAGCGCAAACGGAGACTTAGCAAAAAAGCAAGAGAGCAGATAAAACTATTACAATAAATATCCGCGGTTTTATTTCATTTCACAGTTTTCAGACGGCGAACATTTGCAAACGCAGCGCGCTTGTTTTACAAACTTGAAAGAAAAGAAAAAGTAGAAGGGAAAAACCTTGCTCCAAAGTACTTAAAAAACACAAAGTAATTAGTGAAGAATTTATCAAACAGCAAATTCAACAAAAATTTTCCTATTGAAATCAATTTTATCTGTGTTAATAGTTGTGTGCGGCATTTGTATTGCTTTATTGGAAATTGATCCGTTTAAAATGGCACCCATAAGTAAGTACAACAAAAAATCTTTGCAAAATTAATACATTCATCATATTTTCAATATTTTTTATCAAAATGAAAACGAATGGACAAGCTTAAATTGTCTTGCTTCTTTTGATTATGTGAACAATTATTTGATAAGTTGCTATCAGTTATGTGGGACTTACCTTGGCCTGTTCCTTGTTACGGCATGTGGCAAAGACATGTTTCGGTGGCTTGGGTAAATTCACCAGAGCTTTTACAAGACCCAAACCAAGGCCACGATTGCATCCCGTTATTAGTATGGAATTCATTTCTGTGTTCTAAAGTTGAAGAAGATAGTTGTGTGGAGAACGAACTTTGGAGTTAAGATCAGCAGAAATATCTAATCGCCGGTTGGAATTTTGCAGTTCCGCCAAGAGACTAATCTAGAAAATACAAAGCAAAACGAAGAAATAAAGATTAGGAATCAAAACGCCAACCAAGTGTGTGTGTCATAAAGATAAATTATTTATGAGGTGCTATGCCGTAGCTAGCTAGCGATTTATTTGCTAAATATGTATTTTCTTTACACAATATTGCAAGAGTATTTAGTTATAGTTCCACCCTCAATATGTTTGCTTTCCCACTACTCACTTTCGTTATGGCAAAATTAGCAATGAATGAATGAAATGACAATGAAAAAAGAACAAGTTTCTATCGGTATTTTATTTTTAACAATTGTTGCTTTTTTGCACAATCGTTATTTTCGCTCTCTCTCTTATTTTCCTTTCCAATGGTTAAATTTTCTCTCACATATGGTTTCTCTCTCATTTGCCTTTTTGAAATGTCAAAACTTCCAAGCCGACTTCCAGTTGAATGGTTGATATGCCAATTGTCAAATTCTTCTACTCTCTATTATTCTCTCATCTGTTTTGTTCAGTTTTAATTTTAAGTGCAAAAGCGAACGATATTGCGAAATTCCATTTAAATTTTGTAATAAAATAAATAATTAACTAGTCTCGGGGTACATTAAAAACTCTCAATGTTTACCATTTGGAATTCAAGAGCTGCTGTTACATTCATTCGCTCCGCACGATTATCGATTGTTAGTGGCAACAACAGTGGTATTGCCGCCGACAGCAGCAAAAGGTCATTTGTAACAAATTTACGTCAACAACAACGAAATATGAGCCAAGCGGCAGGATCCCGTGAGTATTTCCAGAACAAAAAGACAATTTAGGGTCCCTTTGGTGGTCCACAATCAAGGTTATATAACTAATGGAAAATATTTTACAAATTTCACAAAATTGTGTTTTCATGCTGTTTTTTGCAACGTCATGTTCCCTCCCCTTGCTGGTTATTGTTGTTTTTGTTTACCGTTTTAGTTGAAGAATCTTTTAATTGTTTTATATTATTTACCTTTTGTTAACCTCAATCTGTATAACGTATTCGACTGCTTTACTAAAAGAAAATAATTTTTAGCGGTCTCTTTTGTTATCACAATTTTGCTAATTTAAACGACGCGTGTACTCTATTTTTTGTTTGTTTGTTGTTTTTTTTTTGTGTAAAGATTGAAAATGAGCGAACTAAATGGCAAATTCCATAACATATCCCATTTGACAGCTGCCAGAAAAATCAGCTGTTTGAGACATACCGCATATGGGGGACAAAGCACAGTGGTTGGTGTTTAGCAAAAAGAACTGTTTAGCTCCAAAATTTTGTAAAATCTCGAAATTTTGGTTCCGGAACAATCTTTTAGATTAACGGAGATCATATCTGAGCTGAGCCCATCTAGTTATCAGTTTCTAATTTATTTTATGATATCTTGACAGTTCGCAATGTTAGCTGTTGTCTATTTTTTAAGAAACTATAGCAATATTTCGGGAAATGAAATGAACCAAAAACATCACATTGATTAAAGCATACCCTTAGCACTTTCTAGAGGTCGGAAATAAGGTGTTTCCATTAAAATGTGTATTTAAAGAAAAAAATAATTATCGAGCTCTTATAACGTGATATGTCTAGTGTTATGCAATAGAGAAGCAATTAGACCTGTCAGTGCGAAAATGGACAATATCCCCAAAGCGTCAACATTTTGAATAATTATAACTCTAATAAAATATGATGTAAAATCACAAATCACAATTTTTTTTTAACCCAATGTTTGCTGTGAAGATGGGATATATCGGTCCACTCCTTCTGGTACCTCCTCCACAAAGGGTCAGAATTTGGAATAGCCATGAAGCTCATAATACGCGAAATTAACATCCGTTTCCATCCAGTCTTGACGCATCTCAATATTTCCGTCAACACAAGATCTAGTATAAAGATTGTAGAGATCTCAAGGTCTGTTGTGAAGTTCATACATATATATCTGCGAACCCCTTCTAGAACCTCAACCACAAAGGGTTACAATTTTCAAAACTTTTTTCTGTCACTAGCAAGTGCCCGCTACTTCGCATGTAAAAAAGGTATTTATATTAACTGAATTTATGTTAAGCAAATTTTTAATAGAATGTTGAATGAATTTCCGCAATTTATTGATATCAAATTATAAATTGGACGAGTTATTTCCACCTCCCAACCCTAAATCAAACCTAATGCACATATAACAAAATCACCTCCTTAAATCAACACTATTTTTCAGATTTGATTCTCATACTAAATTTCAAGGTTCTTCCTCTATTCAAATGGTACTAAATTTAGCGCAATTCAGTATTTATGGTACACATATTTTAAAATTTCGAAAATCACTTTAGTTTGTTTATCATCCGCAACATCGAGGACTCTCACTCCAAAATTCAGATTTCTTGCTCTATTTCTCCCCTAAGTACCAAAGTTATTACTATTTAGTAATTTCCGTACTTTTTGGGAGGTATTTCCAAGTTCCCAGCCATATATTAATCAATTCGCACAAAAGGTGATCCTAATTCAAAATTTTAGACTTCCAACTCAATTAATTACCCAAATACCAAAATTTGTACAATTTAGTAGTTTTTAGTACGTAATTCCAAAACCATTTCATATCTCAAACCTACACACGAACATCGGCCACAATTAAAATTTTAGTGTCATTTAATACCTTTCATACATTTACGTTACATATTTCCAATACCACCAGCATATCTCAACACTACACACCAATTCCCAAACACCAAAACTCAGAAATCTAACTATACCTACGATCAATACAAAGATTTGTACCCTTTTTACTTTTTATACTCTTGTAGTACTTATTTTTAAATTTCAGGCTTCCAACTCTACCGGTTTACCCAAAATTTAAATTTAATTTTACAATGCAATAGTAATCTTAGTTGTAAATTTCAGGATTCCAATTCTATTGTTTCACCCAAATCCAAATTGTACCAAATTTAGAACCATTTGATACCATTCCTTTACATAAGTACAAATTTTGAAAAATACGTCCATACACCAATTCCACGCTCTGCCAGTAATGTTATTTTCAATTTTAGGGACTCCAGTTCCATCCGTTCTTCTAAATTCAAATTGTACCAAATTTAGTACTTACATCTCCTCCTCCTTACATCGACCCTACTCCCCATTCCAAATTTCAAGTTTTTAGCCCTAACCGTTCACATAATACGAAAACACACCAAATGTAGTACATTTTATTACCTTTCGTACACTTATAGTGGGAATTTCCAAAATCCCTTTGGTACATCCATCACTTACTCAATTAGCGACCCTTATTCTAAATTAAAGAGTTCTAGCCCTACTGGCTTATCTGACCCCTTCGGACCAATAGTGACCCTCGCCCGAAATTTCAAGATTCTAACTTCAGCCGTTTCGCCTGGGCGTTCATGAATCATTAAGTCAGTCAGTCAGTCAGTCAGTCAATTACTTACTCTTTTATTAATATAGATAACTTGGGAAACAAGTCGGCGAATCTATACAACTTGCTATATCTAAATATTACTCTTAACCAGAAACTTGAGATGAATATGGAATTTTTGATTTCGCATAAAATTGGATATAAATGTCTGATTTTCTTGTAATTTTGTCCATACCAATATTTTTATCTGTATTTGATGAAGCGTGAAAATTGAATACTTCGGTCCACTATATCTGGTACACACATCAAATTTTCCTAAAAATTATCACATATCTCATATAATGTGAGGGAAGTAACCAACATAGTCCAAACCTGGTACGTCGCAGTATTTATAACAATAAACTATTTATCTGATACAAATGTAGTAATAGTATAGTTTTCTAAAGCATCCCTTTACCCATCTTGCTATTACCTTGTTTTTGGATCTTGACAGCTTTGAAGCATATCGTGAACAGTTATTTGTCAATATTTCATAGCAATTGAATTCTATGCATTTTAAGTTTAATATAGCAAGAACCAAAATCAAGTGAAATTTGATACGAATATTACTCATTAGTTGTACTTATTTATTGGAAAGTAAATTAAAACCTGTTTCTAATTGTATTTTATTTATGAATAATTAAAATAATAGTTGAATTGTATGTATGTTAAATGTAAGGAGATGGAATCGTCGATACGATATATAATAGCCATCTTTAGAGTGTTGTGAAATTTTGATTAGTCGCCTCTTTAAGGATTTTAATGACTCAAAATATTTTCCCATAATTTTATATACTTTTTTTGTTTTGAAAACAAGTGGTCGTCTGTTGTGGTCCCATTTAAAATTGAGTGGCCAATTTTGGTGCCCTTCGAAAATTGCGTATAGCCCGGTTTTTCATTTGTTTCACTTCACTTGTAGATAATAATCGATTACCTGATTATATTCTACAAATACTCAGCACCATCCTGGTAGTCATGGTAATATATACTATGTGAAAATATATCACTGTCATCATGCAGTACAACAGCAAAAAGGACAATACTACACCAATAAGAACTGGTGTTTAAAAATACTTATGCGGAAGTCAGTTGTAAAAGTGAACAACAACGGGGATAACGTGAACAACAAGAAGGCGTTAGTTTTCAGTGCAGATTTCGATTAGATATCCCACTAATTGTGGGGACTTACGCCGGCGTTAAGTCGATGGAACATTAAAACCAATAATCTCCACTAAAAACAAAAGCAGGAGAACAAAATATTGATTTATTTTTTTTTTAGATTTTCATACGTTCTATTGTTTTCTTTTTATAAAAAACTGCTGGTGGGTGTTATTGATGAGTTTTCAGTGGTGTTGTTCCCAATGGGACAATATATAATCATCAAAGTCAATTGGAACTTGTATTAATTGAAGTTAACATTTCCAGGTCAAACCCCTTACAAACAGGGTATGTCGACATACCTCCCAGTTGTATAAATGTGTGTCAGTGTGTGTTTGTAATTCACACCAGCCAATTAAGTGAGTCCTTTTCCAAGGTGTTGTGTTGAAGAAATCATTTCAATTGGCAGCAGTTTTCTTTTGTCGCTCCAAGAAGTAAGATTTTGAAGTTTTTCTATTTCTTCTTCGTATACTCTTTCCTCCTCCATTTGCTGTTGTGTTTTTACATTAAGTATTGAATACATGAATTATTTTGTATTTTTACCTGCATCGGAAGCCAGAAATCTTCAAGATAATCGTCGTTCGGTTTATAAATCTGATTACATTGATATACGTCTGAGAAAAAACAAAATGAGTGATGGAGAAAATGAGTTGGAAGAACAGCTGGAGAAAACTACTCTGGATGATGACAGTGGAGAAGAAGAGGAGGAGAACGAGGGTAGGTCTAATTACGTTGTATTGATTTGCTGGTTCACAACACTACTTGTCAGTCATTATAAAATGCACAATGCAGTACATTTTGTCATTGGAAAAATGATACCACCTTCCGCGAGTTACACTTGCAGTTAGTTCCACTCGCTACCCTCATCACATTGACTTTATGTTTATTTAATTCATTTAGTTATTTTTTTTCTTTCAATAGATTTATTATTTGCTTTGTCATTCAAATGATGATGATGATGATGGCGATGACTGGTTCTATACGGCGGGACGACCACATTATCTTTGTTATTTAATTGTCCAAGTGGTATTGTTGTTGAGATTATATTTTTATTATTATCAAAAATCTCTGATTGCCATAGCATTTTTCTCAGTTTTGTGACGAAATAGTTTTTCTATTTTTTCTTTTTTGCTTTTGCAAAATTCAATGCAATTATTTACAAATCTATGACGTCAATTTTACGTCGTGGTCGTTTAATTCTGTAAGCTTTTGGGTTTGTGTACATGTGAGCACATATATGATATTTAATACTGGAAAGTAATTATTAAAACAAATCTTATAAATAATTTATTTAGAAATGAGATTTCAAATTCGTTTAATTACAGATAATATCTCTAGTTTGTTAGCTTAGTCACGGAAGGTGGTATTCATTAAAATGTCACATAAAGTGATATTTGAAAATTTCTGTTTTTAAGAATTAAGGTAGTGATGAAAAATGTGAGATCTCTTATGAAATCATTAGCAACCACCGCGTAAAGAGACGCGTCCTGAGTAACAACCGGAGCTCTCAAAAGCTCCCTTGAATTCAATTGACTGTAATGCCAAACTTTCTGCCATTAGATCTTTTCAAGCATCAAGGAGTGTGCTAATTCCACCGGAAGCGAGAGGCTGACACTTTTCTCGTTTTGGGCAAGCATGATTCTGGACATACCAATGAGTCGAAACATCTTAGGTGAATGTGATAGAATAAGTGGACCTTTTTCGACTTCAATTACTTTGAGGTTAAGATATCTGACAGGGACGCTTTGGATGGTGATGAACCTCCCCTAGACTACCTGCCTGCTCTACAACTCTGATGTTTTTTTTAGCAGTAGTACATGCAGATGTTTGGATTAATTAAAGAGGTGCAGCGTATTGTGCGGCTAGCGCCTTGACGACCTTGCTCCTACTTTTCAGCTTGTCGGAGAAAGCTGTGGCTTGCGCGGACGACTTGAACATGCTGTCGAATGTGACCGCTATAATCTTGGGGTTGTTCGTGGTGGGTATTAAATTTCCCTCGACCTGCACATTCAGCTGTGTTCTCATTTCAGTAAACCATGTGGTAACGAGTGTGGCCGTTGGGTTTCAACCTTTCCGTATGTCATCAACCACTGGACCCGACGCCGTGATCTTACAATCACTCGCATACTTTACGAATTCCGGAAAGGTAGAGGTTAAAGTTCCGGAGATATCCCCCACTTTGGGGAAATCTCTGTTTCAATCTACGGGATTTCGGAATTCCACGTACGACTGGCGTCCACACATATAGTTGATTATCCAACGTTTCAAACTTGGCCGAATGATTGGCCGTATCAAAAGCCTCTGATAGGTCAAGGGTTACCAACACTGTTCTATCACCTGGCGGTTGATGAGACTGTCGAACCACCGATAAGCTATTATGTCAGCCACTTCAAACAAGGTTTTCTTTGAAGAAGATGACGCTTGAAAATCAATTGCACAGTATATAATATAGTAGGAAATCTCAGAAGTAGAATCTGTCACCTTATATCAACTAGTAGGTCAGTCCTAAAAATAATATCAGATATTTGACCTGAAGATGGGGTAACAGTGTTTCTGACTCTAGGCCATGTGAGTATGAAGAAGATGTAGAGACGATTGTGAACATCTATACCATATTATCAAACAGAATCGAAAATTGTTTGCAAGGAGAGAACTGACCTGCCGAGAACCCCGATTGTTAAGTTTTAGCTAATTTGGTTGGTCTGGTGTATACCTTTTTTTATACCTTCAGTCATATGGCTAGAGAGGGTATATATCATTTCATAACGATTTCAGACCCTAGGTCTCTTTGGACCAAATCCGCATTGAGGAGTTGATTCAGCAATGTCCGTCCGTACGTCTGGCTGGTGCGCACGATAACTCTCGAAGGGAGTATCCGATTTGGCTCAAATTTGGTACATCGTAATATTATTGTCAAACTTAGATCGAGTTCGGAGTTCGGAAACTGGTAACTACCCAACAAAAAGTCAAAATTTTCAAAAAAAAATATATATTTTTTGCACTGGAAGAGAAAGTACAACCCGATTTTGCTCCAACTTTGCAAATCCTAATATTTACATCAGTGCTAGGTCAGGTACAAAAACGGGCAATATCGGTCCACTTCATCAAGTACCCCCCCCCACAAAGGGTCAACATTTTGAATAATTTTAACTATTATAAAATGTGATGTAAGAGTCCGAATGTCTTCAAAGTACATACAATAACCTAAGATCTGGTGTGAAAATGGAATATATGGGTCAACTCCTTCTGGTACCTCCCCCCACAAACGGTCAACATTTTGAATATACATGAAGCTCATAAACGCGGAAATAACATTCGATTTCATTCAGAACTGGTACATCTTAATATTTCCATTAACAAAAGATATGCTATAAAGATCGGACCATTCTTTCTGGGTACCTCCCCCAAAAAGGATCAAAGTTTTGAATAAACAAAACGATCAAAACCAAAACGATCATAAAATCCGAAATAATCATCAGGTTCCTTTCATATTTCACACATCGTACAATTTTTGCTAACACAAGATCTGCTGTGAAGATGAGATATATTAGTTCACTCCTTTTGGTACCTCCCCCACAAAGGGTCAAAGTTTTGGAATATCCACGAAGCTCATAAAACGCGAAATTAACATCCGAATCCATTCAGACTTGATAAATCTCAATATTTCTATCAAAACAAGAACTGTTATAAAGATGATAGATATCGGGCCATTCTTTCTGGTACCTCCCCCACATAGGGTTTAAGATTTTGAAAAACAAATTTATAATTTCGCATGAAATTGGATATATATGTTCGATTTTCTTGTAATTTTGCCCATACCAATATTTTTATCTGTATTAGATGAAGTATGAAAATGGAATACTTCGGTCGACTATAGGTAGAACCTCACGCACATTTTAACATTTTCTAAAAATTATCACATATCTCATATAAAGTGAACCAATATAGTATAAACCTGGCACGTAGATACGAAATGGACCATATTGGCCCATTCCAGGTAGTCATAGCAGAAGTCTAAATAAATTTAAATAATCGAACATTGGCTGAGGGTATACATCTGTCGACAAAACCGACTGATACTTTTTAACGTGTTTCTTTTTCATTATTTTACAATGCTATATAGTATTATCAATTTTGAAAATCATTGATTAGCAACACATATTGAAGAGAGAGAAACGCTGCAAATCGAATTCTCATGATAACTAATGCTTATTAGTGCTGATTATTTATGACCTCCTCTTAACAAGTGTTTATTTTTATTTTTTTTTGCAATAAGTTTATGTACTCCGCGTTCAATATCATTGAGCCACGTGTTGGCACAGATTAACCCCTTGTTTCTTGAGGGAAAATCAGAAAAACAAATGTGTCTTTTTCTTGGTTAATTTTTAAGAAAAAATTCGAGCCTGAGAATAGCGACATAAAAGCCCTAACAAAGAGTGATTAATAATGGTAAAAGCCAATAAAAAACCTACATAAGTTTTAAATAAAAGGCAGCTTGACAGCATAAACCTGTTCTTTTCGGCATTGTTTTGCTATTCTTGTTTTTGCGTGAGAGTAGTTTTTATTTTTTTTTTATAAAATTTTAATATTTTCAACTTCACTAGGCTATTGTTTAGATTCTTTTCAAACTTTTTTCGTGGGAGAGTTTTAAAATATAATATAATTGTTTGTTATTCAATAAAGTTTTGTTCCAATATTTTAGTCGGTTCCTCTCTCTATTGGCAAATAATTTAAATCCAATGCATTTCTTTGATGTTGACATTTGAAGTTTCTTTTATTTTTTTTTTCAAGAATTTCAAGAAAAAGAAAGTAAAAATGAAGAGTTTTTGGTTTTGTGTTTTTGGCTCAAAAACGCCAATCCACACACGCTCGCTCCTCTTGGCTAAGAAGAAAAAAAGAAACAAAAACATCCAAAGCAACAAGTCAGCAGGCAATAATAATTAACAACAGCAACAAACCAAAAATACGATGATTTCATCAAGTCTCTTTTTTATCTGTCGTCGTCGTCCCGCTACAACAAACAAGTACATGGTAAATTATTTTCCATACCGTCCCTCTGTGTGCTTTCAAAGCCACAGCGAACGGCCACAACAACATCATGAGAAGAGAACGAATTGTATTTCTATTTTACAGTAGATTCGTGCGCACCAGAGTTCAACTAAATGAATGATGGCAGTCCGGAATAGTTTGTTGTTGAATTGATAGAAATTAGACGTATCGAAAGTGGTGGCATTCCGGCTTAGAAAAAAAACTAATTTTTAAAGCGTGAAATATATTAAAAAAAAACAATTGTGACATTATGGGAATAGTTTTGTCGCGTTGTCGTCCCCAGCCCAGAGCTATTGTCGATACAAGTAATAAATTTTGAAAATTATTATTTATTCTTTTAAATTATATTTCAAAATCAAAATATGTGCATAGAAATTTTGCCTAAAAATTCCAAGACAAATCACTTTGTATTGTTTAGTGTTCGGTATTGTGTCATTTGTTTATAAAAAAAATTAGTCATTCGTTAAATATTTACTGACGCCTGTTCGTGATGCTTGTATCATTATTAATATTCTGAGAATTTTTTTGAAACAGGTGGTTAAATCTGGAAAATTGCCATAGTCAACGGATTTAATGGGGAATATTTTGTGATGGCAATTTTGAAATTAACGCTTAACTAAAAATAATTGATTGCGGCCTTGTTAAATGGCAAATTAGTGTTGGATGCACCAAGCAACTGTGTTGTAAAATTCATCCAAAATATCCTCTATATCACATTTTTGTGTTGAAACAATAAGGATTAATGAAATATATTTTATTAGAACAGAGCCATGTCCACCAGGTTTTATTAAAATATTCTAAAGTTGGAGTCGACCATGTGTGACACAGTTGTCTTATCTGTTTTTACTCATGGGTGTCTAGTTTGGGAGCATGCGATTAAGTCTAGATGGTTTATTTCCAAACTAACCAAAAAATTGTGTAAAGGGCCGTGTCTTTATTTACAACGTGCACTCCACAACCTGTACCCAATTTTATGGTAAATCTCCAACTACTGAAACTTTTTTCAGTACCAAGCGAAAAGAAATGCGCAGAAATGACAGAGAAATTGCAATTTTTGCATTTTGAAAACGACGGAATCCGCTGTCATAATATCGTAGGTGTAGGTGATAGAATTGGTATTAAAATGTCCACCTTTCTCGACTTTACTTATTTATGAAGACATTGTATTACCTGATACGGACGCTTGCTTGTGAACTACCTCTGGACGGTCTGGCTATGACTGCATAGTACCAGTAATGCCACTCACCACACATGTTCAATCAATTATTAGGTCAGATATACGAATCGCGGTACGTATGTTGATGGGCTACTACCGGATCTGATTCTGACATTAAAATGGGATAAAATTTACTTATATTACTCCAGACAATGTAGAATTGGTAGAGAAAGAATTTAACACCTCATTCGCAGTGCTATGTATGCAAGGTATTCAGAGCCGACCGACGGCCGTATGACACCAGAGGAGACGAAAATTCTACTCGCATGGCAAGATATCCACATACTTTCGTTGCAGCGTTCACGACTTACAAACCATGATATTGTACTATCTACCCTAGTAAAATTGGAATGACGCATATTCCCAGATATAGATCCACTTACCTCAAAATGTTTGCAGACAGGACAGCTGATTGATTACAAGTGTATAAACTGTTTTAAATTGTACACCTCTCATCTAAACCAGATGTTGTCAAAGAAGTAAAAAAGTGTCAGTCGGTATTGCCGACAGATGTATACCCTCAGCCGCCAATGTTTGATTATTAAAATGTATTTTGACTTCTGTTGTGATTTTTCAAATTGTTGACCCTCTATGGAGTATGTTTCGAAGGGATGGACCAATATTGTCAGTTTCGTATCGGACCTAAATAAATATGATATAAATATTGTGACGTGCGGGGTTTGGACTACAGGGTGAGATAAAACAAACTGCAACAAAGTCAAAAGCCGTGATTTTTACATTTTTTTTTTAATTTTTATTGAATTAAAGCAAAACATGTCGCAAAAAGCATCAAATTTTAGAATAAGTTTAGATTTGTTCGAGTTGGTCACCTTTGGCACGAATTATGGCCTTCAAACGGCCAATGAAACCGTCACACGTTGCCCGAATGTTGCTCTGCGGTATTTTGGACCATTCCCGGCGAAGCGCTTGGTTTTTTAGTACCAACCTTGCTTTTCAAAATACTCCAGACACAATTGTCTAACTGATTGGTATCCGGAGATTTTGGTGGCCATTGTGCGCTGCAAATTAAGCGAGGAACCTCATTTTATAACCATTCTTGGGTAGCGCGTGCTTAGTGCGATGATGCCGAGTCCTGTTGAAATGTCCAAGGTCTGCGACCAAAATATTTGCGTGCCCAAGGCGTTAATGCACCCTCCAGAATATTTTCGCGATAATATTCGGCATTCATTCTGATGCCACGGTCGATTTATACGAGCGAAGAGCGACCATCGGCTGTTATGGCGGCCCACACCATCATCATCATGGCCGGCACTTGAGTTCTGGTGGCCAACCGAAGATGTATATTTTCAGCTTACCTCTTTGGCAAGTAAACACGATCATTTTGTTTGTTTACAAAATGCTGGACAACGAATGTTTTCTCATCGGAGACGGAGAAAACCAAATTCGGCAGTTCACCACTTTCGGCCAAGCGAAGCAACTCTTTAGCTCTTTTGAGTCTATTTTCTTTCCTTTGCGGTGTAAGTTCTTGCACTTTTTGGAATTTCAATGGTAATTTTAACAGCTGTCGGATTGGAAATGACAGCAGTCTGAAGTTGGTTGCAGTTTTTTCAAGTCACCTTATATATATACCCATGATCAGCATAAAATTTACTGATTTGTAGCACTTCCGACGGAATTCATCCTAAAAGCACGTACTTCAAATTTTGGTGAAAACCGATTGAGATATAGCTATGGCTCTCACATATATGTTTTTTTCCCATTTGGGGTTTAAGTCCCTAACATGCGTAATATGCACTCCACAAGAATGATATGTGGTACAAGATATCAGATACAGTCCAACAATACTTATTTTAAATTGTATCCAGATCGGTTCAGATTGCGATATAGCTCCTATATATATCTTCGACCGATTTCATTTTTTTTGTGCACCAAATGGTTAATATCAGTCCAAATGAATTTTGGCAATTCCGACCGAATTCAGCCTTGAAACAAATACTTCAAATTTGCTGAAAATTGGTTCAGATATAGCTATAGCTCACATTTATATGTTTTATCCGATTTGGAATTTAAGTCCCTCACAAGCGTAATATGCACCCTGCAACAAAGATCTTTGGTACAAGATATGAGACACAGCTCTGAAAGAAGTGTTTCAACTTTTGTCAAGATCGGTTCAGATTTGGATATAGCTCCCATATATATCTTTATCCGATTTCAGGGTTATTGTGCACCAAATGGTTAATATCACCTCAAATGGACTGAATTTTAACACTTCCGTCTGAATTCAGACTAGAAGGAAGTATTTCAAATTTTGGGTGAAAATCGGTTTAGAAATAGCTATATCTCCCATATATATATTTCATCCGATTTGGTGTTAAAGTCCCTTACATGCGTAATATGCACTCGATAACAATGATATTTGATACCAGCCATCAGATGCAGCTCGAAAATACCTCTGCCATATTTTATCGAGATTGGTTCAGATTTTTATATACCTTTAAGAGACATTTCCATCCGATTTTAGGGCTATTGCTTACAATTTAGTTATCGGTTAGCTTTTATGATTGGCTGATATCACCTTCTATGCTAAAAATATCCCAGACGTCACTTCTCCCATCCTGCTTTATTCGAGACTTTGTGAGGAGATTTCAGATGCACTCTGCTTTTTCAATTTCTTATTACTGTGTATATTGTCAAACCAACTATAACGACATACAAGATTATCAACCTTAAAAAATAAAAAAGGTCATTCCGTTATTTAAAATAACTAATCTTTTACCAAAATTCCAATTTTCAGATGAATATGATTACGATTTGATCGTAATTGGCGGTGGTTCGGGTGGTCTGGCCTGCGCCAAGGAGGCTGTGGCCAATGGTGCCAAAGTTGCCTGCTTGGATTATGTTAAACCAACTCCCTTGGGTACCAAATGGGGTATTGGCGGTACTTGTGTCAATGTTGGCTGTATTCCCAAGAAGTTGATGCATCAAGCTTCATTGTTGGGCGAATCCATTCATGTATGTTTGCAAACCACATAAATAAATTTTTCAATGTTTATAGCACGATTTTTTTTAATTTTAGGAAGCCACCGCCTATGGCTGGGAAATTCCCAACAAAGAGGCCATCAAGCCCAAATGGGAAAATCTGGTACAGGCTGTACAAAATCACATCAAATCCGTTAACTGGGTGACACGCGTGGATTTGCGTGACAAGTAAGGGATACAACACTTTTAATTTAACGAAATATACTTTATATTACTTTCCGTTGTCTCGTAGGAAAGTAGAATATATCAATGGTGCCGGTTCCTTCAAGGATCCCCACACCGTTGTTGCCAAAATGAAGAACGGCTCTGAACGCACTCTTACCGGTCGCAATGTTGTCATTGCCGTTGGTGGCCGTCCCCGTTATCCTGATATTCCCGGTGCCGTTGAGTATGGCATTACCAGTGATGATCTTTTCAGTTTGGACAAAGAACCCGGCAAGACTTTGGTTGTTGGTGCTGGCTGTAAGTATAGTTTAAATACACCCTTTAAAAATTCAAATAATTTTTCAATTACTTTCTTCCAGACATTGGCTTGGAATGTGCCGGTTTCCTTAAGGGTTTGGGCTACGATGCCACCGTCATGGTGCGTTCCATTGTTTTACGTGGTTTCGATCAACAAATGGCCAACATGGTTGCCGATTCCATGGTTGAACGTGGCATTCCCTTCTTGCACAAAACCATTCCCAAATCGGTGGAGAAAACCCAAGATGGCCGCCTTTTGGTGAAATATGTCAACACAGAGACCCAAGAAGAAGGCAGTGATGTCTACGACACCGTTTTGTGGGCCATTGGCCGTAAGGGTTTGGTTGATGATTTGAATTTGGGCGCTGCCGGCATTGAAGTTAAGGCCGATAAAATTGCTGTCAACGAAGCTGAACAAACCAATGTACCACACATCTTTGCCGTTGGTGATATTATTCATGGTCGTCCAGAATTGACCCCCGTTGCCATACACGCTGGTCGTTTATTGGCTCGTCGTCTGTTTGGTGGTTCCAAACAAATCATGGACTACACAGATGTGGCCACCACAGTGTTTTCACCCTTGGAATATGCCTGTGTCGGTATGGCTGAGGAGGATGCCATCCAGAAATTTGGTGAAGATAACATTGAAGTGTTCCATGGTTTCTACAAACCCACGGAATTCTTTATTCCCCAAAAGAGTGTACGTTATTGTTATGTTAAGGCTGTGGCCGAACGTAGTGGCGATCAAAAGGTGTTGGGTCTCCATTATCTGGGACCTGTTGCCGGTGAAGTTATTCAAGGTTTTGCTGCTGCTGTCAAGTAAGAAAATCGTATATTTATTTTTAGGGGGATTTATGTTAAATGTTGTTTTTTTTTTTAGGTCCGGCCTTACCATGAAAATCCTATTGAACACTGTTGGTATCCATCCCACCACCGCTGAAGAGTTTACCCGTCTGGCCATCACAAAACGCTCTGGCTTGGATCCCACTCCCGCCTCCTGCTGCAGTTAAACACCATACCATTTTTTTTGTAATTCTATATCTCGGTAGTAACTGATTCATCTGAAGCGTTCAATGTTCGTCGTGCTACTAATTAGTTTTCTTTTTCAATTCCATTTATACACATGTATCCACCGCCCGCTCAGTAGAACTGACTGTGGCATAACAACAATCGATGCCTTACAGCAGTTTAGAAATCATTTTTAATTTTAATATCCCAGGATTGGTTTTTCATAACAATTAGTCTTTTTCCCTTTGAAATTATTTTGATAGTAATTTTGTTACGTTATTGTACGCTGTGTCTAGAGCTGTATAGCAAATGTAACTAAGCTTAAATTTATATAGAAATTCACAATGTGAAGGAAATCAGCTAATAATTTGTAATAAGAACAAGAACACCACAAACAATTTAATAATAAAAAAGAAAAAAATGTTTTTAAAAAATTGATAGCTTTTTTACTTTTAGCAATTTTTAAAGAAAAGCGAATATATCCCTTGATTATCCATTTGGTATATCCGTAGCTAAATCTATTTTGGTGAATAACTTTGAAAAGATTGAAGAAATTGGAAATGACTTATGGACGAGGGAAATGCTTCACTTCGTTTCGATCTTTCGGGAAGCATGCAACCTCTGCAGAAATTTTGAAAAATGTTCATTTTTATACCCTACGCCAGGGTATTATGTTTTTGTGCATTTATTTGTAACACGGAGAAGAAAGCAAGATAGACCCATAGTTATTTTTGAGGATCTTCATAGAATCACTTTCTGAGTCGAATTATGCATGTCAGTCCGTCCGACCGTCTGTCCATTTGTCCATGTATTCTTCCGAACAAAATGCAGGTCGCATTCAGCATCCGATTGAGATGAAATTTTCCAAACAGTATTTGTTGGAACCAAGGACAAACCCTATTGAAATTGGTGAAAATCGGTTCAAATTCAGATATAGCTCCCATATATATCTTCTACCGATTTCGGGTTAATTGTGCACCAAATGGCCAATAACAGTCCAATTGACCTGAATTTTGGTACATCCGACCGAATTTAGTCTAGAATTTAGTTAGTACATCAAATTTGGAGAAAATCAGTTCAGATATAGCTATAGCTCCCATATATATGTTTCATCCTATGTTTCACATTCGTAATATGCATTCGACAACAATGACATTTGGTACCAGAGCTCGGAAATACATTTGCCAAATATCGAGATCGGTTCAGATTTAGATATAGCTCCCATTTATATCTTCGTTCGATTTCGGGTTAATTGTGCACCAAATGGCCAAAATCAGTCCAAATGACCTGAAATTTGGCACATCCGACCGAATTCAGTATGGAAGCAAGCACATGACATTTGGTGAAAATCGGTCCAGACATAGCTATAGCTCCCGTATATATGTTTCATCCGACTTAGTGCTTAAGTCCCTCACATTCGTAATATGCACTCCACAAGAATGATATTTGGTACCAGAGCTCGGAAATACATTTGCCAAATATCGAGATCGGTTCAGATTTAGATATAGCTCCCATATATATCTTTAACCGATTTCGGTATAGGGTACACCAAATGGCCAATAAAAGTCCAAATGACTTGAATTTTGGTACATCCGACGGAATTTAGTCTAGATGCAAGAACATCAGATTTTGGGAAAATCGGTTCGGAGATAGCTTTATCTCCCATACATATATGTTTCATCCGATTTGGTGTCTAAGTCCCTCACATTCGTAATATGCCTTCGACAACAATGATATTTGCTACCAGATATCTTATAGAGCTTGGGAATACATTTGCCAAATTTTATCGAGATTAGCTGAGTTTTGTTAGAATGTCCTAGGTCTGCGGCCAAAATGTTTGCGTGCCCAAATCTTAAATACACCCTCCAGAATATTTTCGCCATAATATTCTGATACCACCATCGATTAATACGAGCGGAGAGCGACCATCGACTGTTATGGCGGCCCACACCATCATCATGGCCGGCGCTTGAGTTCTACTGTCCAACCGAAGGTGCACATTTTCAGCTGACCTCTTTAGTAAGTAAACACGATCATTTTGTTAGTTTACAAACAGCTGGACAACGAATGTTTTCTCATCGGAGAAAACCGAATTCGGCAGTTCACCACTTTCGGACAAGCGAAGCTACTCTTTAGCTCTTTTGAATCTATTTTTTTCTGTTGCGGTGTTAGTTCTTACACTTTTTTGAATTTCAATGGCTTTACCCCGAGCTCATTTTTCAATATTTGCCGAATGCAATATTGTGATATGTTCAGCTCCCGAGCCATTTTTTGGCCACTGACACGCGGGTTTTGGTCAATTCGCTTCTTTACTTTTCGAACCATTTCTGCTGATGTTGCTGGTTTCTTCCGTCCACTTCATTGACGTCGGGCTACGCTACCAGTATCACGGTAACGAGCGATGGTACGAGAGACACAAAAGATTTATTCATATTTAAATGCTGGAGTGCTCTAACGATAGCCACTTGTGGTTTTCTAGCCAAATATATAAAGAAATCACACTATCACGCTTGAATTCCATCACTAATAACTTTTTTTCTGGAAAATTCTCACCAAAATGCTTTTGAACGCTTGTAAACCATATAAAGAGCTGTCACTGGAATAACAGTTATCGGACAAGTGGCTTATAAATGACAGCAGTCATAAGTTGGTTCCAGTTTTTTCATTTCACCCTGTATGTACCTTCTGTGGATATCGTTTGGGACCCTTTGGGAACACGAAAAACCCCTTTTCTACACAATTATGTTATTGTAGACGACAAATCCGAATTTTACCTCTCCCAAAACACCCAATTTCAACTAAAAATTTCAAAATTTCAATTTCTTCTATTGTCAACCACTAAAATATATGGGAATGTCTAGTTTGGACAATGTTTTGGTATAGCTTCCATAACTTTCAGTTGATTAACAAATTATTTTTGAAATAAAACAACTTGACCCAATTTTTTTTTCAAATACTTTTTAATAATTCCACTTTTGTTGTTGTTGTATTTTTACAATATGTTTTATATGATTTGTTGTTATTTGTTTGTATGAATGTATATTCTTATAAATACCATTTTTTTATTCGCATTAAATAATACATTTAATTAATTTTAATTTATAACTTTATTGTATATATGCTTTTTGTTATTGTTAAATTATTATTTTTTTTTCAAACACATTAAAAACATTTAAAACCTATCAAATATTATTAACATAATTTACAATACAATTGTTGCTGTAATTTTTTTTTGAATTTATCATTTTGTTAATTTCAATTTATTTAAAAAAACAAATATTTCTTTAAAATGTACTCCCAATTTCGATTTATTTTTTTTTTGTTGTTTTTTCTTTAATTTTTTATTTTTTTTATTACAAACTTTTAATTTGATTATTATGAATTTTCATTTTTTCTATATATATGTTTATATCAATTTTGGCCTACAAAAATTAAAAATATTTCCCAAAAATAATCACATATCTGAGTATTTACATGCGTATGCATTTTTATCCAGTATTTCTTTTCAATATTTTCACTCAATTATCGTTTGTAATTTTGGTTTTGGTTATCGTATCGTATGGTTTTTTTTTGTTAATTTTTTTCGTAGTTAACTTAATTTCTTGCTCAAGTCTTGTTCATTCATCTACTAACATCCAATTTTCTCAATTAATTTTATTTATTCTTTCACGATAGTTTTCAGGAAGTCAAAGTAGGAGTTGGAGTTTAAATATTAAATAAAGATATAACATTATTTTATTCCGGTATCCCGAAAAAAACATGTCAAAGCATTTCTATTAATTTTAGATTTTTCAAAAGACTAATAACCATTTGAAAAATTCTATTAAAATAGTGTTTTAATTTTTCTGGTATATATTTCTTTTTTTTCATAAAATGTGTAATACTGAAATATAGGTTGGGAATTTATCATATGGTGGACCCATTATGAACTTTCCTCGCAAAGTGAACTTTTCTCGCAAGAAGCTTCAGAGTAAATAATCGCAGTCGAACTTCTAGAGATCCTAAGTAAATCATAATAGCTAAGATACCAGAAAATCATAAACCCATTTAGAAATCAATTTATCAAATAACATTAAACCAGGAAAAACGTAACAACTATAAACGGTGTCGACATGTGTTAAATGTTCCCGCTGGGCTGGGGAGATATAGTTGACGAAGAGAAGGATTTTTAGGCTTTGGATTTCAAAAGTGAATCTTTCACTCAATTTATTTTTTCCAATCAACTAATTTTTTATACCCTCCACCATACAATGGAGGGTATATTACCTCATTCCGTTTGTAACTCCTCGAAATACTCATGTCAGACCCTACATAGTATATATAATCTTGATCAACATAAAATTCTAAGTCGATTTAGACATGTCCGTCTGTCTGTCTGACCGTCTGTCTGTTGTAATCACGCTATCTTTGGAACGAATTGAAATAGAAGGCTAAAATTTTGCACACATGTTTAATTTTCCAGAAGCAGGTTAAGTTCGTAAATGCGCCATGTAGGCCTACGTTTTCATATAGCCCCTATATAACGGTACCTCCCATTTTTCGGTATTTTGATGATTTTAGCGACATTATTTACCGGAATCGTTTCAAATTTGGTATTTGAAGTTCGTAATGGATACTAAAGCCTAAGACAGAAAACTCTCTATGCAGGTCCACGACTTCGTATAGCTCCCATATAACGGTACCTCCCGATATTCGATATTTTGATGATTTTAGCGTCATTATTCACCGGAATTGTTTCAAATTACGTATTTAGAGCTCGTAATGGGAACTACAGTCTGTGACAGAAAATTGTCTATGCAGGTTCAGGTCTTCGTATAGGCCCCACATACCAGTACCTCCCTATATTCGGTATTTTGACGAGTTTAGGTACAAAACCCACGGAAATTGTTTGAGATGTCGTATTTGAAGTTCGTAATGAATGCTACAGCCTATGGCAGAAAATTGTCTATGCTGGTCCAGGTCTTCGCTCAGCTCCGATATAACGCTACCTCCCTAAATACGATATTTTGATGATTTTAGCTACATTATTCACTGCTTATTTCATGTTTCGAATTTGAGTGTGGTAATGACTTATGACAAACAATGCCCATGTAGGTCCACGTCGTATAGACACCAATACAACGGCAATATTTGGTATTTTTTAAAAATTTTAATAGAATTTTTTAACGATTTTATTTCCAAATTCGTTCCAAATGATGGAAGGTATTCAAAGTTCGGCCCGGCCGAACTTACTGCATTTTAACTTCTTTTTCTTTCTGTTTTTGGACCGAGTGAAGTCCACTTCGATGTAAGATTTGTCAGTAGGATGATTGGCCGGGAACGTACTTTAAATCCCATCCACCATGTAAAAACTTGAACTATTACCAAATCAGTGGTACTCAAAAAATTAGATTCCTGTTAGATATACTAAAATCTGTAATACTTCTAAAATGTT